ATTGTAAAAATGTGTTCTCTAGTAGAGACCTTTATTTAATTCCAATCCATATATTATTATTTATAGCATCTACTTTTTAATTAGGATGTCGTATGTTGTGTCTCTGTATATAAGAAATAAAACATTAAAATATTATAATTATATTATTCATTAGATTTAAATATAATTTTACTATTTCATCTCTAACATTTTATAAAATTTTAAAAAGTCTTTATTGTCAATTCTTATTAAAAAAATCTACATGAAAAACATAATATATATATATATATATATATATATTCATTAAATACATTTTTACTGGAGCCAAACAACTCTCGTTAATAAGCATTTCCTCTTCAATCCAAATCTCACGTTGCAAATTCTAAATCTCTCAATCTCAACCCTAATCCTCCCAATAGGAATAGCTTTTCCAACAAGGAACAGTTTTTCATAATTTGCAATCTCGATAATGATGTTGAGTTTGCCCTCAACGATCATCATCTTTGTGAAGTTGTCACTGGTCATCACCTCACCTTGGAGAAGCTCAATTTCATGGTTCACTACTCTTTCATTGTGCAAGAATTCATGTGTTGCCATAATGTTCATCACTTCAATTGCACCATTGCCAATGTTGACGTAGCTCAAGATCAAGATCTTAAGATCTTAGTCACCTATCATGATCGTTGACGTAGTAATGAGGGGATGACTCATTAAAGAAAGGAGATTGATGATCCAGCTTTGTCACCAACGAGAATCAAGACACAGCTTTCCACAGCTTAAGAAGGGTGTGCGTGAAAAGTATGATGAAATGATAATAACGTACATTTTGAAATTAACCTACATGACAATGGTGAAGTATAATATAACAAATATAATACGTATTTCAATTGTTACTTATGATTTTTTTTAATAGAAGTTGATGACATACCATTTTTGAAATATTACAACAGGTTAAAGATTAAATAATAAAAAAAAATTTCACAAGAACGAAAAGTGAAAAAATGATAAATTACGAGGTCAAAAATTATATTAAAGTATCCATTATATTGAAAATATATGTTATTAGAAATAAGTTAAATCATACCTTTTGTTCTTGTATTCTCGTTAATCCGCAATTTTAGTTCTTCTATTTTAAAATATAAATATTTAGTTTCTTTAATTTTTAAAATGTGAGATTTTATTCCTATCATTAAATTGGTATTTATTAATCGTTAAATTTTAATATTTATTCATATTTAATTGATTTGACATTTAATAATATGATATTAGGAGATAAAAAAATTAAAAGAAACATGTAAATGAATTTTATTAATAAAATAAATATTGATTATTCATTGAAATATACATAAACAAAGTTTTATTTGTATACTATTATTTAATTTTTATCATTACATGTCACATCATTAATTATGTCATTTAAATAGTGATAGATCATTAAATAATGTCAAGATTTAACAATTAATAAACATTAAATTGATGGTATAGCCAAAATTTTATTTTATTTTATTTTAAAAAAAAGGGACTAAATATTTATATTTTAAAATAAAAATATCTAAATTACAAATTAACTAAAATAAAAAGATCAAAAGTATAATTTAATCGGTAACTTTTTACAATAATAAATAACAAAACTATACACATATAAATAAAACTTCTTGCTTCTTAATTTCCAATAAATATAACATTTTTAAGTGATAACAAAACTATACAAATATAAGAGTTTTTTTTTTTTTTTTAATTATGTACCCCTAAACACGGTATACATAAATTTAAACAACAAAAATTTCTTATTCTTTGTTTTGTTTTATTATTATTTTTATTTCATTCTTTTCTTTTTGTACGATACTGAATTAACATAAATAAAAAATGAATCTAAATTTCCATGCATCTATCACTTATTAAGTGGATCCTAATAGTTTTTTATTTCTTTTTTTTTTTATTTATAATATTTTCAAAACTAAATTGTATTTTTGATTTTTTTTTTATTTTTGTTCTACAATTTTAACTCATCTATTTTAAAATATAAATATTTATTATTTTTATTTTTAAAAATAGGATTTTTTGTCCTGTCATTAATTTGATTTCATTGAGCGTTAAATTTTAACATTATTTGTTAACATATTAACACTTAAGTGATGTAATATATACTAGTTTGACGTGTAAAGATAAAAATTAAAAAAAAAATATCATACAAAAAAATTTCATTTATATTTATTTTAAAAAGTATTTGACATTTATTTTATTAATAAAATTTATTTGAATGATTATTATTTTTATTTTTTTCATATTTAAATGTCATATCACAATATACCATATTATTTAAATACAAATAAATGTTAAAAAATTAATTATCAATTAATTTCAAATTGATCAATAAATTAAAAATTCAAGAACTAAATATTTATATTCTAAAATAAAAAGATAAAATTGTAATTTAGCAAAATATTAATTTTATTTCATTTTGATTTTCACATTAATTATGTTGATTTGATTGACTAAAGTACATAATAAATTTGACAATAAACCAATACATTATGAATGAATTTAAAAGTATATATATA